AAAGCCCATCCAGTCCCACCCCCTGCCCTGGGCAGGGACACCTCCCATCACACCATGTTGCTCAAAGCCCTGTCCAACCTGGCTTTGAACCCTTCCAGGGATCCACAACTTCCTTGGGCAACCTGTCCAGTGTCTAATAGTACTCATCAGCAGGTCTCAAAGCGCTTTACTGAGGAGAGGGGTGGTGTTAGCTCTGCTTTGTTTTCTGCAGGTGGGGAAACTGAGGCACAGAGGAAGCATCCTGGGTTTGGCCCTGCTGCTCTCACACCTTGATGAGGCTTCCAGCCGAGGTCCTGCTGTAGTACAGGACACCTCACAGGTGGTCCTCGTTAATGGGGATGACTTTCTTCCAAATGTTGTGTGCTCCAGCTGCCATAGGAGGTCAGTTCCTGTATTTGCTTGAATGCTACACCTCTGGGGGGGCAGAGCCTGGGGTGGGACAGCACACCATGCCCTGCAGCAGCACAGCCAATGTGGGGGGTCAGCTGTGGGTTTGTACCAGGCATATCCCGCTTCCCCCAAGTTCATGGAGGCTCCTCACTACCTTTTCCAAGTTTATTCTCAGATTCATTACTCTTTCCAGTAATTTCAAGATTCCCCAGGTTTATTTGGGCACTGCTGGTAGCAGCCAGGCGATGCGGTGTTTGGGAACCACCATGCAGGACGGTGACCTGCTGGAATCAGTCCAGCTCCCACCTCATGATCCAGGTGTGCAAGGGACTGGTGGAACAGGGGTTTCTCATAATTCCTGTTCTTTCCACTTTCTTTTCTTAAGTCTCCTGCCTTGAACCCCGGGAGGAGGGTGGCTGAAGGAGATCCCTGCCTGGATGCAGTCATTTCAGCCCCACTGGTGCTGGGGAGGCTGAGTCCTGGAGATGCGGCAGCTGAAGACCAGGTGAACCATCTTGGCCCGACAAGCTTCGTCCGAGTCCAGATTTTAGGTGATATCAGCCAGGTTTTATTCCCAGGTTTCAAAGCACTTTATGGAAGAGGTAATTTCGTTATCCCTATTTCATATCTTGGAACAGCGAGGCACAGGAGCGTTACGTGGCTGTGATTAGTGGCAGGCACAAAGCCCCGTGGTCCTGTGTCCCCATCTGGTGCATCGTGAGCTGTGACATGCTTCTCCCTGATTGCTCATTGCATTAATTGCAGTATGATTCCAAGATTTTTTGCAAGTCCAGCATCACTTCTAGCAAACATCCGAAAGGAGCTAATTGAATCTGCTGTCCCAGAGCTGTGCTGCCCTTAGGACCACGCAGGGGCTGCAATTGTGCCTGATGATGGTGGAAAAGGTGGGGGAGACCCACCTTGGGTCCCTTCCCTTGACCAGAACTGGTGGTGGTGGCTGTCTCCAGTGGCAGAAGGGTTTGCCTGGGTTGTCCTGGAGGGTGGACAGACATGCCCCACACCTCCGTGGGACCCCTTTTCTGCAACAAACAGCTCCACGTGAGCTTTCTCTGGCTCCTCTTTGCGTGGGGTGGGAGGTCCAAGCTTTAGCTTTACTCCTGTACTATGATGTCCCTGTCCCATCCCTGCATCCTGCATCCCTCAATCTCAGGGAACTGGGTCCCAAGCCAGTGGTTTCTCACCAGGAAGGGGTAAAAAGGTTCTTCCTAACCTGTGAAACCCAACTGCTCATCAGGCAGTGCCATTTAGCTGCATCCCTGGTGTTTCACCAGGTTTGTAGGAAGTTTCATCAGTTACTGGCATTAGGGGCAAAGTCTCCTTGAAATTTTTTTTATCTTCAGATGCTGCTGCAGCCAGAGAGGACTTTGTTCCTTTCTGCTCTGCTGGGATGATTCAGCTGAAAGGTAAAACCAGCTCCCCCCCCAGCACATAAGTCTACAAAAAAGACCAAATGGGAGGTTCCTCCTTGTTGTGGTGGTTGCGTCACACTGAGTGGACTCCTTTGGGCAGTGGAGTAACGAGACCTTCTAGCCAAAGCTTGGCAGTGGTGCCTTTTGCTGGTGCTACACAAGATGTGGGTCTCCCTTTTCCAGCCTCGGGCATAAGCCCACGCCTTGGCTTTCCCAGCAGGAATGTTCCTGGTGTTGGTTTACCAGCACCGCCACCTCCAAGGACACCTGCTGTTGACTCACCTATTGTAAACGGGACATAATTCCTGGAAACCGTCTCTGGCCACTTGGGTGAGATTTGCAGAGTCATCTGCGGGGTTTCGTGTTACTAGAAGGGAGCAGTTTGTTTTGTGAACAAACATTTCTCCTCACCACCCCCTGCTTTCCCTTCCTTCTTCACCCGGTCCGGGTTGCCCTGGCCTCTCCTTTGGCCAAGGATGCACTGGATGCCCTGGTCTAAGGATGCAAGTACCATGTCTGGAAGGTCTTCAATGTTTGTCCTTTAGCTGCACCCCATGTTTGTGATAATAGCAAAAATATATATTGACATATTTATCTCACCATCTCAGGGTGGTGAGACACTGTCCCAGGTTGCCCAGAGAAGTTGTGGATCCCTGGAGGGGTTCAAGACCAGGCTGGATGGGGCTTGGAGCAACCTGGTCTGGTGGAAGGTGTCCCTGCCCAGGGCAGGGGGCTTGGAACTTGATGATCTTTAAGGTCCCTTCCAACTCTAACCATTCTATGAGTGTTTTCAGTGCTTCCTGTGGCGTTACCCGTCCACTGGCTGCGGCGCAGATAAGGAGAGCCACGGATGGAGAGACAGTGGGAAAATCCTGCTGGGTTCTCATCAGCTCGGAGGAGGAAATTTTTTCAGTGGAAATGTTTTGTCTGGAAAATGCCTGCCCATTGTAATGGAACGGGTTCATAGGAAGAGGTTTGTTTGGACAAATTTTCTGCTAAGTGTTTCTGGGGGAGGAGGAACAGGTTGGAAAAGTTCCAAACCTTCCCGCTCCAGCGGTTTCAAAACAACAGTATTTGAACCTCCCTTGAGAAAAAAAACAACGGTGAGAGCTCAGAAGTTTAAATAATAATAAATAAATAAATAATAAATTCATTAATAAATTAATGAACTTGCTCAAAGTTTAAAAAAAAAAAAAACAACAAACAAACCAAACTTGGGTGGGAGCAGCCAAAGCAGATTCTGTCTCTCCTGCGAGGTTATTTCCACCTCTGCAGGTGCAGGGAGAACCCTGAGCATTTCTGTCTTGGGCAGAAACTTCCCCCCACCTCAAGAACTATAGCACCTCAGTGAATTTGCCATAAAAAATGTGGTTTTAAGCAGGCTGCAGGGAACAAAGATGAGGCGCTGGGGACCGAAGGAGGGAAGGTGGCACCCCTTCCACCTGAGGCTGCAGCAGCCGGGTACCCCCCCTGCTTTGGGGGCTGGATCTGGGTGTGCAGCCCGGCCAGGGCAGGTGCCACGCAGTCCCTGTGGTGTTCCTGCCCCGTGCAAACCACACCGAGTAGTTTTAAGGGGAAAACCAGCGTTCTGGAGCATCGCGGTACGGCCAAGGGGCCTGACACCAGACACGGTTCACCCCTCTGCTGAAGCCAGCAGTATCCCCCCGAACGGAGAAAGGACTTTTCCACTCCATGTGCTCTTACTTCTACCTGAATTGGTTCCTATATTCTCTGTCTTTTAAAAAAAAATCCCGTTATTACCAGCACAGTGGCTATAACCCATCGGCGACTTCTGTGGTTTAATGACAAACACTTTGGGTTGGTTACACATTATTTTTAGGTGGTTGCTCTCTTAGAAGCAGGGATGGTGTTGCGGTCACTGACTGCTCTCCAGCTCCTACAGCTGTCAGCAGCACAAGAGTGCCTGACAAAGCAGGAAAAAAAACAACCTGTCACCCTTCAGAGCAGGAGACCGGTTCCTTCGTCCCGCACCGTGACTCACGTGGGGAAGAGGAGTTAAAGCAGGGACGTCACCGAGGAGCAGAATTATTACAGTAAGGACAAAGCATAGAGTCATTTAGGTTGGACAAGACCTTTAACATCCAGCTTGTAATAAACCTAACCCTGCCAAGCCCACCGCTGCAGCGTGTCCTGCATGAGTCCTGCGCATGGTCTTTGTATTTATACCTAATAGCAGCCTTCCAGTACCTGAAGGGGGCCTACAGGAAGGCTGGGGAGTACCTGTTTAGTAAGTCCTGCAGTGACAGGACGAGGGGCAATGGCTTCAAGCTGGAGGGGAACAGATTTAGACTGGAGATGAGGGGAAAGTTCTTCAGTGTGAGGGTGGTGGAGCACTGGAACAGGTTGCCCAGGGAGGCGGTTGAGGCCCCATCCCTGGAGATATTCAAGGAGAGGCTCGATGAAGCCCTGGGCAACCTGGTCTAGTTGGGGGTGTCCCTGCTGACTGCGGGGGGGTCAGACTAGATGGCCTTTGGAGGTCCCTTCTGGCCTCGGTGATTCTATGATTCTATAAGTCTATGATTCTATATCGACGAGAGGAAAAAATGAAATCAGCCAAGGCAAAACCACCTCTGAGGAGAATACCGGCCCGTACATTTCAATGTTCTACCTTTACACTTACTTGATGAAAGTCACTCAACTACAAACCGCCTCAGCATCACAGCCCTCACCAGAAACACTCCTTTTGTTAACCAGGAAACCGGTTTCTTTTATTCCAGTGCCATGAAATAAACCCCATGAACCTGGTACATTTTTCCCAGCCACCTGACTCCTGCCACCTCGACGAGAGGAAAAAATGAAATCAGCCAAGGCAAAACCACCTCTGAGGAGAATACCGTCCCGTACATTTCAATATTCTACCTTTACACTTACTTGATGAAAGTCACTGAACTACAAACCGCCTCAGCATCACAGCCCTCACCAGAAACACTCCTTTTGTTAACCAGGAAACCGGTTTCTTTTATTCCAGTGCCATGAAATAAACCCCATGAACCTGGTACATTTTTCCCAGCCACCTGACTCCTGCCACCCCGGGAGTTTCAAGCCTGAGCTTCCCCGTGGCAGCTTCTAGATGTTTGAACCTCCGGCAGGTTCCCTTTGGTACCCCCAAATCCCCCCCTTCCCCGCCACCACTTCGCCCTCCCCGGGGGAGCATCTCACCTCTGAAGAGGACGCAGCCCAGGAGCCAGAGGAGCGGATGGAGGGACGGGGCCAGCATCTTCTCGGTGGCTTGTGGCTCTGCAGCCCCGCTAGGGCTCTGGCCATCCCGGGAGGGACCGGAGGGCGAGGAGAGATTTGCCTGCCTGGGCTGACTCTCACAGAGCTTCCTGTCAAAGAATAGAAGGAAACGGGCTGAATCCACAGGGGAACTGTGTTTTTTAGCCCATTATGGTCGGGGAGGATGTGAGACATCGCTTACCGACGGCAAAGGAAACCTCGCCATCAGTTTGTGGGGGGATTCGGCTCTCACAGAGCTGGGGGGGAGCGGTGGCACGATGGGCCTGCCTTGCTTTGGGCCTCGGTGGCTTCTTCGTGGTGCTTGGGTTTTTTTGGGGAGATGCTACGTTTGTGATGAGGGTCTGGACCCCCCGGTCCAACCCCCTCGGTATCAGCCCCAAGGGCTTCAGGCTGAGTTGGTCCTCCCTGGGCAAAGAGCTGCTGGAGGAGCCCATCCTCCCTTCCCACCTGAGAGGGGGTTTCTTAACATCTCCAGGAGGGATGTGGAAATATTTGCTCCTCTTGGGGCTGGGGTAGCTCAGCAGCTGGTGCTGCCCCGTGCCCTGTGCACCTCCAGTGAGGGCACTGGGCTGTGGTGGCCTTGGGGACACTGGTTTTCAGTTGTGGCGCTTGGTTTTTTTTGTGGGAGATGCTACGTTTGTGATGAGGATCTGCACCCCTGGGTCCAACCCCCTCGGTATCAGCCCCGAGGGCTTCAGGCTGAGTTGGTCCTCCCTGGGCAAAGAGCTGCTGGAGGAGCCCATCCTCCCTTCCCACCTGAGAGGGGGTTTCTTAACATCTCCAGGAGGGATGTGGAAATATTTGCTCCTCTTGGGGCTGGGGTAGCTCAGCAGCTGGTGCTGCCCCGTGCCCTGTCCACCTCCAGTGAGGGCACTGGGCTGTGGTGGCCTTGGGGACACTGGTTTTCAGGTGGCAGCAGCGTCCTTCCCCGCAGGACACACAGCACACGGCAGGCTTTGACTCACCCCAACCCAACCCCAGCTACGATCTGTCAACATTCAGCTCCTGCTGTGACCCCGAGTGGGTCCCAGGGTCCAGAGCTTCAAATCATCCTTGTAGGAAATAAGAAATAAAAATCACTAAATCATATTCCTGAGGACCATGTCGACCCGTCAACATTCAGCTCCTGCTGTGACCCCGAGTGGGTCCCAGGGTCCAGAGCTTCAAATCATCCTTGGTGTGAACCCACGGCGCTGCTGGCCATCGTGTCGCTGGTGGAGGGTCCTCCCACAGCAGTGGGACCCCCCCTGCACCCCCCCGGGCAGGGAACACCACCCCCGGTGTGAACCCATGGCACTGCTGGCCATCGTGTCACTTGTGGAGGGTCCTCCTGCAGCAGTGGGACCCCCCCTGCACCCCCCCGGGCAGGGAACACCACCTTGAGCTGCATGGGGCCAGTAGCTTTCCAGCCTGGGTGCCCTTCGCCGGGCTGTGCGAAGAGCTCAGGTGCAGATGGGGGGTGATTTTGGTTTTTTTTACACCCATTTCTTAACGGCGTTAAGTTTTAAGGCCGGGGGGAGGGTGGGGGTGGAAGGAGGGAAGTTTCCTGCCGTTGGGGTTGCGTGTCTGCGGCCGGAGGGGCGGTAGGTGCTTTCTCCCCGAACAAAAGGGCGCTTGTCTGGCAGCCGGAGGAGAGGAGGAGGAGGGTGGTTGGTGGTTTTGTTTTTTACTTGACAAGGGGAGGAACTGGAAAGTTGGGGGGGTTCTGCCCCCAGTCCAGCCTGAGGGGTTCGGGGTGGCCAGTTTCTTGGCCCTGACTTTGTGATGGACTTGTCTATGCACCTCCCATCTGTCCCCCGCTGGCATCCTTTGAACTTCAGAAGTAAGAAGTTGCCCTGTGCTGGATGTGACCAGCTGTTTGGTGGGTTGGGGGGGGAAAGAAGGGTTTTAAGTGTCCCCACATGGGAAAGGCTCCTCTGCCCGCCTGTCTCAGCGGGCTCAGGATGCAAATCCATGGGGTTGTGCCATTGTCCCCCCGTCTGGCAGCCCGGCCTGATCCGGGGAGCCAGGGACATGGTACTGGTGTGGTGTCCACCTGCAGGAGCTCACTGGGACCCCAAAAAAGAGCTTGTGGTCCAGCCCAGCTTCTCGTCACAGCCCCTTCCCTGTGTCCTGATGCTCCTTCCCTGCGTGCAGTGTGTCTTACACCCCCGGCAAGGTCCTTGCTTTCCACGGGAGATGGGCAGGAACGGAGGGAGAGGTCTCCCAGGTGCTGCCCAGCTCCTTGCATTTTGGTGGGTCTCTTCAAAGGCCGAGGAAATGGTCAGGCCAAGAGCTGCCAGCACCAAACAGCAGCCCCTTTGGCTTCACAGAACCTCTGAGAGCTGCCTCCCTGCCCCATTTCTCCTCTCCCGCGCACAGATGTGATGCTCAGAGATTACGCTGTAGATTAAGGTTTTACCAAATCCCGAAACGAGTGCAAATTCCCAGAAGCTCTAATGTGCGGCCAGATCTCTTCTGGATGGGGGGAAGAGGCATTTCCCACCCCGTTGTCTCCATGTGCAGGAAGGACAGAGCCTGAATACTCCCCCCGGGCTTGTCTGCTGAGAGCTTCCAGGTAAGAGCGGTGCTGGGTTGGGATGGAAAGATGGGGAGACGTGTTTCCTAAGGGCTTTGCAGGAAAAAGGCTCTGGAGGGTCCATCTTTTCTGCTCTGAGGTGTGCTGGGGGTCACCCTGGGTGGCAGAGGGTCTGGCAGCACGGCATCCCTGGACCAGGGGGATGGTACCCCCCTAATGTGCAGGGGAGGACACTGCCAGGCTGAAGGGCATCCCTGCGAGGGGAGAGATGTGTGAGCACCCATTTGTAGAATTGTCTAGGTTGGAAGGGACCTTAAAGATCATCTAGTCCAACCATCAACCTCACTCTGACCAAAAAATAGGAAATAAGAAATAAAAATCACTAAATCATATTCCTGAGGACCATGTCGATCTGTCAACATTCAGCTCCTGCTGTGACCCCGAGTAGGTCCCAGGGTCCAGAGCTTCAAATCATCCTCGGTGTGAACCCATGGCACTGCTGGCCATCGTGTCACTTGTGGAGGGTCCTCCTGCAGCAGTGGGACCCCCCCTGCACCCCCCCGGGCAGGGAACACCACCTTGAGCTGCATGGGGCCAGGAGCTTTCCAGCCTGGGTGCCCTTCGCCGGGCTGTGCGAAGAGCTCAGGTGCAGATGGGGGGTGATTTTGGTTTTTTTTACACCCATTTCTTAACGGCGTTAAGTTTTAAGGCCGGGGGGAGGGTGGGGGTGGAAGGAGGGAAGTTTCCTGCCGTTGGGGTTGCGTGTCTGCGGCCGGAGGGGCGGTAGGTGCTTTCTCCCCGAACAAAAGGGCGCTTGTCTGGCAGCCGGAGGAGAGGAGGAGG